CCTAAACCCTAAACCCCAGGGGTTCCGGGTTCCTTGGATAAGGATCTCCACAGGCTGCTTGGTCTCTGCGTTGTAGTTCCTGTTTTTTTTTTTTGTTTTTCTAGGGTTTGGGGAAGTTTCGAGTTATAAGGGCTTAGGCGAGTTTAGGGGTTTAGGGTTAAAAGGAAGTTCGGATCTAGAGTCTACCTGGGAACCCTAAAACCCGAAAAAAAGCAGACTATTTGTACGTAACCCGTCTTCCAAGGCACTGTTGTTCCAGAACCCGTCTTTCGGAAGAAAAACCCGGATATTCTAAGTTAACCCTGTTTTTAACATTAGCATTATATAGCTTGATCGATGATCGAAGTCAGAACCTTGGAAGCCCGACCTTGCATTGCCGAGGGGCCAGCTCGCTGCTGATAGCTGCTTGAAGACATGATTTAACAGAGATCTTTCTTAATCAGAACAACATCTTGAGATCCCATATTCAGACTTTAAAGAAGGCTTCTGGCAAAGCTTGGGTAATCAGCATGGGTTTAGTTTTCATCCGATGCCGCGCTCCAAAGTGAAAGAAACTCTACGCGCCGGGGTCTGAGCTGCATGGTCTGCATGCAGAGTGAATTCTGGGTCTGAGCTGCATAGTCTGCATGCAGAGTCAATTGTGTATGCCAGCGTGAATCTGCAAGATTTCAGCTCGGCCCTTCGAAACTTATGTGGCAGCTTTCAGATAATCGCTTCCTACACGGTATATGATTCCCGAAGCATCGACTCTAATACTTGTAATGTATGTATTATATATATAAATATACTAGGGTTTATATAGTTTATGTATATATAGGGTTTGTATATCATATATATATATGGGGGCTTGGGTTCTTCCATGGGCTTTGCTTCTGGATATTTGGGCTCCTTACGGTTTTCGTGCTGAAACTCCAAGATCGACTCCTTAGATGCAGTTTGGCACGTGCTATCTCCAGATTTCGGGTTCTGGCTTTCAGATTTGGCAGCTCCTCCCCATGGCTCGTGAAACTGGCCAACGGGTTGACTGCTCGGGCTTAGCGCTGCAGTGGGCTTCTTCTCCGGAGATCAGGCAGAGGCTTCGCAGCGGCGAATCTTTGATTCATCCTGCCACGAAGGATAAAATCCTGATTAAGACTGCTTCGCTGAATGGGCCAGTACTGCAACCTGTTTGTGACATCATGGCGAGCTTTCGCGACAGCCTTGGCGACGGGAAGATTCCGCCGTCTCCGGCGGTGGAAGACCTGCGCGAGGAGGTGAAGGCTTTGATGGAGATGGGGAAACAGGAAGTTTCTTTCGATGTTGTGGACAAAGCAGCTTGGAACGTTCGCAAATTCATAGCTTTCGTAAAGCTGAAGATTCGCAAGCGTGAAGTGTCCACCGAATCTTTCTGTGAACTTGATGAAGCGCTTTGGTTGCTAACTATATATGATAATGTTATTGGGGCTTTCGCTTAATTCTGTTTCCAGGTAATGTCAAAGCTCAAGCGAGCCATCCAGGATCCTGTGTTTCAGCAGCTCATCGTGACTTTGGATCCGCACATGCAAGAACCTTGCTTCAATTCGCTATCGCTAATACAGTGTTGTTCCTGAGCTTCGCATGTTTGTCTTTCTAGGTGATGATATTTATATATATATATGGACCCTTTGCTGCAATCTCTGATTCGAGGAACTGGTGGACTACGTCAACACGAGTCACTTGAGGAGGGCTTCGTTTTCAGGATCTTCGGAATTTGCTCCTCGTCATAAGTCGATTCGTGCATCATGCTTCTATATATATATATACATATACACACCTCGATCCGATCAAAATCTTTCCACACACACTCTCTCATTCTCAGTCACTCATTATATATATATATATACATATATATATACACATATATATATGCATTCCTGATACAAAACTCCTGAGGCGGATGAGGACGAAGATGAGATTGACGAAGCTCGACCCTCGGGAGCAGATGCACCCGCAGCTGCGGCAGGAGGGTCATCCAATCCGGTCGCTGCAGACCTCGTGCCGCTTTTCACAGGATCAACCACTCCCATCAACAGTGCTGTTGTGTCCACTGGAGCACCCAACCCAGGAGCAGTCGTTGAATCCGCTGGAGCACCCGCCCCAACTGAAGCACTCCCTGCAGGAGCAGCCGTTGTTTCCACTGAAGCACCCGCCGCAGGAGCAGCCGTTGTTTCCACTGGAGCACCCGTCCCAGGAGCAGTTGTGCCCACTGGAGCTGCACCCGCCCCAGTGGTGATTGAGATTCCCGATGATGTCGTGAAGGAAGAACCCGAGGAGCCGGACCCAATCAGGGCTGCACCGCTGGAGCCTTGCCCAAAGACCCCACCCAGGAGGCCGAAGGAGCATGTGTTTCATGACGTGGTGAGCTCCTAGGCAAGATGTTTGTCAAACTACTTGTTCAATATATAACATATATAACATGTATATATATGTGTGTGTATGCATGAACAAATAAATAAGTGTGTGTAAATAAGTATATAAACACACACACACACATATATATATATATATATATTGTTTTTCATTGGACCTATATATATATATAATATATATACATACATATAAACCCTAAACCCCTAAACCCCTCTATATATATATATAGACACCCTAAACCCATTCCAATTAAGGTTCTCTGGCCCCGGACGAGATCACTCGCCGACTCAAGGCGGCACAGGAACGGTTACAACGGTGAAACCCTCAATTGCTTTCCATGTGACCATGTGATGGCGTGTGTGAATGTGCATGCAGATATATGTCGTTCGTGTGCATGTTGATGAGTGAACAAATACGACCATTAGGCTACGGGCTTCGAAAGCTTCGCCAGCATCCATGGAGTCGGAGAGCACCGATGAGGGATCAGGCTGGGCTGGGACTTTGTTGAGCTGTTCTGATATAGTTGTGCTCTTACGGATTGTGTTGTCCGGAAAGGTGTTGGAAGGGTGGAATGCCCAAGTGGACCTCCTTCGGAACGCAGCAGTTTCGCAACGGATGAGACGCAACCAGTGAACATTATGGAAGCTGTTGTGCCCCCCGAAGCTGCGGTCTTGACTGATGACAGTGAGACGGCAGCAGAGAAGCGCAGAGCCTTCCAGGGCGTGCCGTCAACACCGACGGAGCCCATGACTGGGAGAACTACTGTCTTCACTCCGAGCGAAGAGGTGAGAGTCAATTGGCTAATGTTTGTTTGTGGTGCATATAGTGGTTTTTGCCTTTCTTGTGATTTCTCATGCACAGGCCTTGGGTGATGAGTCGCCAGCAACCCGAGCCAAACAGTTGGCTATGAGAGCAGGCAAGAAGCATAAGAAGAACAAGAAAGGAGTGAAGACGGCCAAGAAATCCACAAAAAAAAGGGGCAACAAGAAAAAGGCTCCGGCGGCTACGGGGTCCCCAAGCAAAAGGCGACTAAGCCTTCTGCGCCGCAGCAAGTCCTCGCTGGAGACCGAGGATTCCGACCCAGGCGCCGTTTCCAAGCCGAGCCGTGCTGTTTCCAAGCAGAGGCGTGATTCCGATCCAAGCGCTGTTTCCGAGCCGAGCCGTGCTGTTTCCAAGCCGAGGCGTGGTTCCAAGCCAGCTGCTGTTTCCAAGCCGAGCCGTGATTCCAAGCCAGATGCTGTTTCCGAGCCGAGCCATGATTCCAAGCCAGGTGTTTCCAAGCCGAACCATGATTCCAACCCTGGTGCTGTGTCCAAGCTAGCCAGGGCAAGCCCCAAGCGCAAAGCAGCCAAGGAGGCCAAACCAACGCCAAAAGCTAAGGCGAAGGCGAAGGCGAAAGCGAAGGCGAAGGGATGTGCCAAGGCGAAGGCCAAGGCGACGGCGAAAGGGAAGGCCAAGAGTGCCAAGAGTGACACGAGTGCAGACAAGAATGATAAGAAGAGAGCCCGCTCGTGCTCGTCCCTCGAAGTGGTGATGCCCACCACCCTTGAGGGCTGGGCTGATGTGGATATCCGAGTGTTGATGATTGCCTTTGCCAGGGAGCACTTTGATTACAAGGATGCTGCGATGCCTGAGTTCAAGCTTCTCATGCGAGAGGTGTTGCCCAGTTCTTCAGAGCATGAGGTTGCAACTTTGAATATCTATTGGACCAGGTTTTCCTGCGGAGTGACCATCAAGAAAACCAAGCATGACATTGGCAGCTTCCACTTGCCCCACAAGACATGTGCCCCCAACCTGCGGCTGGCAGTGGCTATCAGGTGTGCTTTGGCAATGGCTCCCCGATAGCATTGCTATATTTTGTTGTGTGTTGCATGCATTTGGTGTGTTGGCTTCATTTCTGATGCCTCCATGTGTATATATTCAAAGGTTCAGTTCCTGGACATGCTGTTGGCGGAGCCGTGCCCCAACACGGATGGCAAGCTCTATGGCGACCTCCCGGTCGAGGACATGGTGAAATCCGAGGTGGTCACTGATGTCATGGAGGCCTTGAAGGCTGATGGGGCAGAGGCTGTTGAAGAGATTGCTGGGTGGGGCGCAAGAAAGGGCTGAGAATCCAGGAGTTTTGAGATTGATTGTTGATGATTTATCAAACAAAGGGCTGGGGCTGATCCTTTTGTGTCCTGCACATACGACTGAAGAAAGTCAGGTGCGATGTAGGTTTTGGCTTTCCGCAATGTACAGAGATTGTGGCTTTGCTGCGGGGCGCTTGTGCTCATGGGTTCTTGGCTTGAACCCAAATGGTTCTTGAAAGCCGAGAGGGGAAACAATGTGGCCTGAAGTGGCGCTGCATCGATGTGCTTAGTGCGGGCGGCAAGCTGTGGCGACACACATTAACCTGTTATGCTATGGACTAATTATGGTGGGAAGATTATGTGTATATATATATAGAGGGTTTGGGCATTCTGTTATCATAGTGATGACAGCAAACTATATATATATACATATGACTTTTATAGGACTTCTATATATGGGTTCACACATATTGTGCTTCAAGTTTCCCACTAAGTGTTGTGCCACATGCTTCAATCTTTCTTGTCTTTCGTAGCAAGTCTTTGGCAAGACAACCAGGCTAGTGAAGACTCATGCACATACTACGCACGCTCACATGTGCACTCATATATACGTGGACTCCCTGGCCTGGATAGCATCTTGCCGAAGAAAGACCGGCGACGCCGCCTGGGGATCAGGAGATCTTGTGCCGACGCATGCACGAAGCCGAAAATGATCCCAATATGCATTTCTGAGACGCAAGTTTTTGCAGCGCGCTGTCCACTATAGATAATCGACCCTATAAACCCTATAACCCTATATATAAACCCTATATCCCTCTAAAACCTAAAATCCTAAGCCGCCGAAACCCTATAAACCCCGATCTTCTTTATATCCCAATAGCTGCATCCACTCACGGGTTTGGCCTATTGGTTTGCCGAGGTCCCAACTACGAGAAGTTCTGCTCGAAGGAAGGCTTGGACGCACAGTGCGAGCAAGAGCGTGCACAAGACCCTGAAGAAGAGTCTGCTTCGCCATGTTTAGCGGCTTTAGCGGTGTTTTGCAGACTTGTGCAGCATGCCACGATTGACTTGTCCAGCACAATACCTGCCTTCTCGGTGCAGAGTCGTGGCCCGAGCTCGAACAGCGACCCCACCTGTTGTGTTCGGGATGCTGTGCTTAGATTCCCTTGTCTGGAGATTGAAGGAGCTGAAGGTTCCCAAGGCCAGCGGGTTCCAATTTCAAGCATGCACATAATCGACCTCGAGACCCCCCAAACCCTATATATAAAAACTGCCTTCGCCCCGCAAGGAGTTCGTGCTCTGCCTCCTGCTTTTGATATGGTGCTATGGTGATATTGGCCAGGACACGTGCAACGCAAGGTCCACAAGCCTGATACTGGTAAGAGCAATTTCATGGACCTCACAACGGCCAGTGGCTTCTTGTTGCTCGCTTGCATTCTCTGTAGATCGAGTTCTATGGCACGTGCATTATAATCTGAGATGCTTTAGCCTGCTAGGTTGGCCTGTTTCTATATCCTCCGCTGCACGCCCGGGGATGGTATATGCCTCTTCGCTGTTAGATGCTCATCATTCTGTTCTATGAATGCTGGAACCAGCAAGCGCTCAAACTGCAACTCTGTCGGCTGGGATCACATTCCTTCTGTACGTACAAGCAATGAACTGCTAGAAAGGCCAGGTTGTGTCGTGTTTGAGAAAGCGTGTAACCATTAAACCGAAACCCCAAAACCCTGAATGCTCCATTGGACTGAAATTGCGAAGGACAATCCTCCTTGTGTTCCTGGCTACGTCTCAAGGACTGGCATGGTTAGTCGAACAACCGCGCAGTTCAGTCTTGGAAATGTACCCGACATGGCGTGACATGCTGATGCAGCTCTACAGGGTTGCGGGAAAGCGAGCAGATGCTCGATTGCATTACGTACACGCAAAACAAGATGCACTATCCCAAACTTATTGTCCAAATTTGTGCTAAAACTCAATAGAACATATTAGGATTCCCGTGATTCAGTGAAGCTGTTGCTCTGCTGCTAGCTAAGGCCACCCGTGTTTGTTGGTGGATGAGCCACTACGGAAGCCCAACACCCAAGCGACAGTACCTGTGGGCGAATTGTCCGTGTGTGAAGGCCATCGACCAGGGCAAACTCCAGATGGTCACCTTGCGACGTGGCCGTGGCGAAGGTGCTTCCGGAAAGACGGCAAGGTATTTCAGGGACAAGAAGGGAAAGAAGTGCTGGGAGGGTACTAAATGGCTGAAGAGAACAGAGTGCCTTGCTTCGATACATTAATGAATATCATACCTGTCGTGAGTGCTGTGGGAGTAGATCAGGGATGGTGTTTTCAATCTAAGGGAGTATCCTCTGGCTTTTGCACGGAAGCTGGTGAGCATGAACAAAGACTTGACCTCTGGTGCTTCTGGGCAGCCACCGCTACCAACTCCTGTGCCTGATGCCCTTGACACCTTCAGAAGCATGAGTTTTGGAGAGGATTCCGAGCTTTGGCAGTATGCACAGCTGTCTGATGTTTTCACCTATATCCGAGGCAGTAAGCGCCTCTGCATCCCCACCAGATGGGCACCTTTCATTCCGAAAGCATTCCCAGGTTTGTCCTAGGTCATAGAAGCCTTGATCACGTGCATACATGATTCTTCTGGGATCTTCTGGGGTTCTTGCATATAAGTGCATTTAGACATATACATATAGTCGAGAAGAAGGAGCTAGTTTTTGCTTGGAATGCTACAGCCGCAACAGTTCCCAGCCTTGACGACGGCACCTTGTGGCTTTCCAAAGTGCCTTTGTGAAGGTTAGGGTTATGGGTTAGGAGTTCGGGAGGGGGGTTGGCTTCAAGGTTCAGGGTTTACGCCTTCGTGTGGAATTACTGGAAATTGAGGATCACTGGGGCTTTGGGCTTTATGAGTTTAAAGGTCTTGTATTTTGTTCGTGTTGGGATGGGAGGTTTTGGTATGAAAAGATAAAACAATATCCATGATGCACTTAGCGCGAGCTTGTGCCCTCTTGTGAAGCCACGAACCTCAACCCTGAAACCCAACTTAAGTCCCGAGACTTGAGCACCCCGAAACCACAAACTTCCGATACTCTCTGAAGGCTGGCACTTACAAGAGCTCCTTTGGATCCTGTTGCACTCCCTGCAAGTCCTAAAGCCCTGAAAGCCTTGACAAAAACCCTTAAATGGAAACCTCCTCAAGAAGTTCCTGGGACCTGAGACCCCAAATCATTATGAGGTTTGCTCAGGGTTTGGTGTTTTGGGTGCATTTATATATAAGAGAGAGAGGGTTTACGGTTTATGTGTATATATATATACATATATATTTTTAGCAGGATCGAGGGCTTAGGGTCTATAGGGGTAGTACTATATTAGTAGTAGTAGCAGTAGTAGTGGTATATATATATATATAGACTATACTCTGTCTCTCGCTCTATATATATATATATACACTATAGTAGTAGTAGTAGTAGTAGTAGTAGTCGTAGTAGTAGTAGTAGTACTACTACTACTACTACTACTATACCACTACTATACTACTACTATACACCCTAAAGCCTTATAAAGCCCTATATATATAAACCCTATATAGAAACCCTGTTATGAAAGCTCCCGGTGGCGGTGGATCCAGAAGCGCGGTGCTGGCGAAGGAGGCGTAGAGCTCACCAAGGGCCGAGAGGCTTCCATTCTGGGACGAGTTCAGGGGTTTAGGGTTTTCTTGAGGGCTTTTAGGGTTTTGGGTTTATATATATATATA